TCTATTTTCCTTGACCATGCAATATAAAGAATTTTATTTATAACCATTCCCTAATATATCTTTAATATGCTTCTGGTTGTGTTCAATAATCACTGTAAAATGTTGAACTCTTTGTTTCCTGTAAAACATTCACAATGCTAATTACCCCTTTCTGTCGTGCATTTGAAGCATGACTGAGAAATCTTTTGATGATTGAGGACAACACTAAACATGTATGAGTCTCTGACAAGTGCAGGGTGATAGTGGAAGGAGGTTGGTGATGTGATTTTAAAAGAGTTGTTTCCTTTCATTTTAGAGAAAAATTGTGGACTTGTTCTGTTTTAAACTATGTTAGCTATTTTAATGTTTATACTCCAGAGTTCTTTTTAAAAGTGTTTTCTGCTTCAAAGTGATAGAAAAACATGCTACAAAAAGGGATTTTGGAACAGATTTCAGCCCTGGGTCTCTGATAGTTTATTGCTGCTTGGACGGACATAAGACACTGACACAACAGCAACAGCATGATGGAAAGTGTGCTCGGTGTAGCTGCAAAAAACTTAAAATGTATATTTTTCAAACAACTGTCTTGCAGCAAATTTTAGATTATTGATGTAATTTTTTAATAATACAAGAAAATAAATTAGGAGCATGTGGTGACTTTAATAAATGAATGAATGAATGAGAAAATTCCTCAGTATTTGTTCCTTATAAATTGTATATTGCATCTGGCAATCAGAATTGACCGGTTCTTTCTGACACTTTGAATGCAATAGAATTGATCTAAGTATTTTTATTTGTGGTTAAATTATTACACTGCAGTAGTGCAATCAATGCACTATTAATAACACAGTCAAGGTTTCAGTAATATCTACTTTTAATCAGCCTTACAAAAATTCAACGATAAGTGGATGAGAAACATTTTCACTATTCCCTCTGTGTACAGTTCTCGTATGTATTGGCTAGCCCAGGGGTAGGCTACCTTGACTCTTTTATGACTCGTGGACTTCAACTCCCAGAATTCCTGAGCCAGCATGGCTGGCTCAGGAATTCTGGGAGTTGAAGTCCACGAGTCATAAAAGAGTCAAGGTTGCCTACCCCTGGGCTAGACCAAAGGAGAAAACAGCATTTGTCCTTTTTAGAGAGCTTATTTACTTGCAAAGAGTCTTCTTTTAAGTCTATAGGACAGTTCTAGCAGGCAATTCAACCAAGCAGCGGTTAATACATCTGCTGGCAGTGATTGCAACTTCTGTTGTATTATTTTCTGTACGGCAGGAACCTACCACGTTATTTTAGACGAAAGCCATTACAAGGAGCTCCTGATGCATCATGTCAGTCCACCCCCGGCCAGTTCAAGTTCTGAAAGTTCTCTTATTCGAATGGGTAAGAATTTTGTTACTTCTAAGAGTTCAGAATTGAACATGTAGCATTTCTGTAAATGTTCGATGCAATTCTCTTTATGTCATTGTTTTAACATGACGCGTGCAGGTCATAGTAGGGAAACCTAGAGGTAAAATTCTGTCATGTCTTTTTTCTTTCTAGGTTCAGCATGCAATGTCTCAATGGTAGCTCCTTCTACCATATCAAATATGTAGTCATGTACGCCAAGGGTAGTCCTTTATTTTGTTAAGAAACAGCTGTATTAAAAGAAGTTGCATGCTCCTGTTCATTGAGAATTTGCCCAAATTGGAACATTTTGGGATATTATGTTCTATATCTTGTCTGAATGCAAACTTGGACAACATCAATCTTTCTAAGTATTTCTTTTTTCTTACATAGGCTTTCCTCAGCACACAATTGCGCTAATGGCTGACCAGGATGCAAAACCATCTTTTAGCATGGCGTAAGTAATATGTGATTATATATTACATACTGCATTTTATAGGGCACAGTCTTAAGGTTTGCCACGCCATTCAGTAGCTTGTGTTACATTTTCTACATCTTATCTGTATGTATAGGCAAACTCAGTCTTGCTTTTTCAGCCACCAGAAATAGGAGGAGGTGATGTATTGAAAACGGCAAATACATTTTTGATACAACTGTTTCTGCATATTTTAAAATTTTAATCAAAATTAGCGTTCACTAACACTTTTTTTGTTCATGCTAAAAGTATTAATCAACTGGTCTTTTTAGATGTACTAATTGTCAATAATTCAGTTGCTATTTTGTAACTGGAAATAATCCTGAATCATTTTTAGCATTTTATCCATTGCAGGACACTGAGATTTTCCCTATAAAATGTAGCATAACTGCTGGAAAAATGCAGTATAAAATGGAAGCGCTTAAAAGTCATGATTTCTTTGATGTATGGCAATTTCTGTAAGAATTAATCATAATATTATTTGTAGAATCTTAACATATCTGCCTTTAATTTTGTTCAAATAATTCAAGTACATTCAGGAAAAAAAGTATTCAGGAAACAATATGTGTTTCTATACAGGCATCTGGAAAACAGCAATGACCCAGGCCTTACATTAGGAGGATATTTCTGTCCCCAGTGTAGAGCCAAATATTGTGAGCTCCCGGTGGAATGCAAAGTGTGTGGTGAGTATCATGGCTTTTATATTTGTCTACCATAAATGAAACATAATAGCATGTTCTTCTTTTTTGTTCTTATAGTTAAAAACAAGAAGGGATAAAAACTTGTTCTCACAAAGTAGTTGCAGCATTTTCACTATGATTAAATAGCACTTCCTCCATCTTTCATAAATGATCTATATCTCAGTTGCTTCAAGTGTGTCACATTCCCTAGAAAATTATATCTTTAGGCTGTTACATGGGTCCCAAGTAGGCTGCTATTCTTATGACTTACTTAGCAATTAAAAATCCGACTCAAATATAGTTAATCTACTGGAGTCTGAACAGTGGTTAAAGATTTGTTTAAGGTAGAAGCAATTTGTTTACAGAATGAATACAAAATAGTTTCAAGTAAGCAGTATCTGGGAGTACTACTATTACAAGAAATTAACAATGTAAAGCTGATTAAAGTTTTCTCCTGTACTTAAAATTGCCGTTTATCTGATGCTTCATTAATGAGTATTAATGCCTAAAGCATTCCTAGCTTATTAATATTTTGCAGTTTAGCACATTGCTAGATTTGAATGCAAGTATGTTTTGAGATATCTGAATGAACTTCTATAGTTTTAGGATTATAATTTTATTGTCCTACTTTTTAATGGCATGAATTGAGATTATGACTTAATATTTAATAGTAATATACATTTCTACTATACATAGTATTTAATAGTAATATACATTTCTGTGTAAGTATTTTAAATAGTACTTTAAACATTGCTGCTGGTCTATTAAAAAGATAGGTTTACTGGAATGGGAAGTCCAAGTGCACTTGTATCTGCCATGTTTCATTAGAAACTTCAACCATTCCATCCCTGTGTGCAGGATTTTTGATAACACCTGAATGAATTAATTCCACAATTCACTATGATTGAAATTAGACTCAACGAAATAAATCATGATAATTAATCACAGACTTTGGATTGTCTGTGGCTATTCTGTTACGACTAGAGTTCAGTATGCAAATGATCATTATCACATTTTTACTTCAACCCTTTTAAGCAATTAGAATAAGACCTGGGACTTAAACTTATTCACTTGCAATGTTACATGGCTAAAAATAAACTTAAAACTTTTATATATTGGACATACTATTTTGGGATGAGGAACAGAGGTTTGAATATCCATAAAACCTATTTTATGCAGGACTTACACTAGTGTCTGCACCACACCTGGCTCGATCATACCATCACCTATTTCCTTTGGATGCCTTTGAGGAAGTCCCAGTGGAACAGTATATGGGGGAAAGGTATGTAAAAAATACTTAGGATTCTGTATCCAAACCCAAATTTTGTTCTTCAGCTAAATGATATATCTTTAATGTTTTTAGTTAAGTGCCCCTTGTTTAAAGTACAACATGTTCACTACTAAGTAAATATTTCCAAATTATTTTTTTAGTTTATGATAAGATTTCTTTTGATTCTTCATTTATTACTGTTTCTTTCTAAGAGTAATTTAAGGTTTGAGGCAGAGTTCCAAATTTTTGGTATACAGGGGAGGGCCTTTTCCTGCCTTCTTCTAAGGCAGCTGAATACAGTTCCTTGGATGGTGTGAATCCCTAAAGGGCTGTTCACCTAAAGAAAACTTTGTTAATTTTTTTTAATGGAAATCATTGTATTCTGTTTATGTATTTTAAATAACGAGATTATACGGCATTATTAATGGCATTTACAATAGCAGCACCAATCTTCTTCTAATTATAGTAGTAAATTGGAAAAAGAAGATGAATACATATTTCCTAATAGAACTTTGCAAATATTTTTAAACAGGTATTGTCAGGGATGTCACGGAGAAATCAGAGATCATCATGTAAGTATTTATTAAATTTAACCTATAAACTATTCCATATATTATGTCCTTGCAAATAAACATCTTTTGGGGAGCTTCATATGTATATCACATTAAATTTTGGGCCTTAAAAATAATTATTTTCAGTCTTAGTAATAGTAGTAAGGTTGGAAGGGACCTTGGAGGTCACCTAGTCCAACCTCCTGCTCAGGCAGGAAACCCTATACCATTTCGGACAAATGGCTGTCCAGTCTCTTCTTAAAAACTTCCAGTGTTGGAGTGTTCACCACTTCTGGAGGTAGGTTGTTCCATTGGTTAATTGTTCTAACTGTCAGGAAGTTTCTCCTTAGTTCTAGGTTGCTTCTCTCCTTGCTTAGTTTCCACCCATTGCTTCTTGTCCTGCCTTCAGGAGCCTTTGAAAATAGCTTGACTCCCTCTTCTTTGTGGCAGCCCCTGAGATATTGGAACACTGCTATCATGTCCCCCCTCGTCCTTCTCTTCATTAAATTAGATATATCCAATTCCAGCAACCGTTCCTTATATGTTTTAGCCTCCAGTCCCCTAATCATCTTTGTTGCTCTCCTCTGTACTCTTTCTAGAGTCTCAACATCCCTTTTACATCGCGGTGACCAAAACTGGATGCAGTATTCCAAGTGTGGCCTTACCAAGGCATTGTAAAGTGATATTAACACTTCATGTGATCTTGATTCTATCCCTCTGTTAATGCAGCCTAGCACTGTGTTGGCCTTTTTGGCAGCTGCAGCACACTGCTGGCTCATATTTAGGTGATTGTCCACCTTGACATTGGAATAGACCAGGTTTCATTACAATTTAATAAAATTATTGCTTATATTAAATAGGATATTATCATTTGCTTAGCAAAATTTCAAAGGGCATACAAAGGGCATTGGTAGTTTATTAACAATGCTATGATGTGCTAATATGTAACTTTTAAATTTCATTTTTCCCCTCAGGTCTACATCTGTAAAGTCTGTCATAGTGTATTTTGTGTTGAATGTGATCTTTTTGCTCATGATACCTTGCACTGCTGTCCAGGTTGCATTCACAGCCATCCTGGTCCTCCCTGTATTTGATGCCTCTCATTAAATATTACTTCTTGTACATTCCTCTGAGCAGAGAATCTTCACCAGTTATTGAACATCTTCAACAAATTAGGTTAAAGAGAAAGATAAGGAAGATGAGTCACCTGAAGGTGTATCTAAATATGATTTTATGCACCATTCTATAATGTATTTAATGGACACATAATTCGGTGTGTTACCTGTATTTGTTTTTGCTAATGTTCTTTTGGAATAATATGGAATAATGTGCCAAATTTATTTTGAAAATATTAAAATGGACATGTGCACTTAAAATATGAATCTTATTTATATGTTGCTTTTCTTAAATATATTTTCTGAAATTAGAAAGGCTATAATTATAAAGGCTATAATCTGACACTATTAGAAATATTTCATAGCAGTCATTTTTATATACCTGTATATTATGTCTGGATTTACAGCACATGACATTTCTTTTCTGTGATAGCCCCCTGTGCATCTTAGCTTCCTTTGTCCATTCCATTAAGTATAGGGAAATGTTGAGGTAGATTCCAGATAACCAGTGTGCTTCCATTTCAATAATTTTAAACTACTACGTATTTTGCTATGACATTGTTTACAGTTTAAAGATGAAAATTTACAAATGTCCAACTCTTCTTTAGCTTCCGTAGGCAGAAGAGAAAGTTGCCTTCTATAAGCATAAGTTCTATTTAAAGTGATTTTTCTATGTAGAATATTTTATTAGAGATGTAATTTTAATTAGTGAGACTGGGAATATAATTTTAAAAATTACTCTTAAATCTGTTAACAAGATCTGCTAATATCTAGAATATCTCTTCAATGACATCCAAAGCAACTCATAGTGATACTAAAATGATGACACACGTGATTATGTAATTATTATGTATAATGTGAACTTGAGGTGAATGTACTTATAATCCTGCCTCTTATTTTCCCATAGCAACCCTGTGAAGTGGGTTGGGCCGAGAGAAAGTTATGGGTCCAAAGTCATCCAACTAGCTTCCATGCCTAAGTCAGGTCTAGAACTCATAGTCATCTAATTTCTAAGGCAGCACCTAAATCATTACACCAAACCTGGTGTAACTTTGTATTGGGGAATTGTTATGCATTTCTTCAGACTTGGTTTAATATCATTGTTCTGATCGACAGAGACAAATTAAGCAGAACTCCGAGGCTTGCAAACTCCTCAAAGAACATGTTTATTGATACAGAGTATTGGTACTTCAAAAGTGAAACCAAGTCTGAAGAGATGCATAACAATTCCCCAATACAAAGTTAAGAAATCCCACCTCGAAACTATGTAAGCAACTATGTTTCCCCACTCAGCCTGTTGGCGGGCTTTTTATGAAACGCTCAGCCCGCAGTCTCGGGAGCAGCCGATGACCTTGGTTCCCATGAGAGAAAGTCCGAGAGAGAAAGTCTGTTTTGTCTAACGCAACACCTGGCAAACCCCCTCCCTCCGTGCTATGTCGCAATTAGGAATGAGAAGGAAAAAGATGGCTGCAACCATGCTCATTCTAAAATTGACACCTGGCTGTCATGGAAATTATATATTTATATCAGGCATCTGGCTTAAGTATGTAAATTGTGGCAGTTGCATGATTACATTTCTGCACATGTATTAATTTGCTCCTGCTGCAGACACCATTGTTGCTTTGTATCCATCATACCTTTAGCTATAGTTTTAGCAGCAAAGCAGATGATTATTTGCAGAAATGTGTCGTCTAATTTTTTATTGTAATTTATCTAATCATATGTTCTGTATATAAAAAATAAAACCTAAATATGCTTTATTTTCATTTGGCATGTCCAAGTATGGCACCAGTCACTGTTAAAATCCTGCTTTTGTTTTCAGAGTACATAAATAGTACCCAGCTCCAGTGATTTAGCAATCAATCATTCAAGCAAGCAAGCAAGCAGTATACTATTGTTGATGCTCCCAATAACTATTGGGAGACTTAAGGCTGTTTTTGTTCCATGCCCTGGGCTGAATCCCAACTGAAAAGGATCTAGATTAGGATTTTTCAAACAGGGCTCCAAGGAACTTGGGGTCCACAGAAATAAGGGGAGGGAAATCTGTTTGCAAGAAACCAAGAAGAAGAAAAAATGAACTATCCTGTCCCGACTTTTGTGAATGCTCTGTGCAGGAGACAAACTGGCTGCCTTTCCCACACTAGGCATACGTACAAAACTTGATTCTCTGCCTGCCACCAAATTCTGACACACATTCCTAACTGCACAAGAGCAATTGCAGGAAGTCTTTCCATCTGTCTTCACTTTCCACATTGCAGACAGTACAGTCTTTGTGTCTATGAATCTGTAAGTCCCGAAGGGGCCCACTTGATTATTACACTTGACATCTTGTGCACACCTACTTAGGTATAAGGCTTATTGAGCTTTATGGGGACTTTAACAAGATTTGCAAAGACAAGAAAGGAGGAAGATGTGTGCCTAAGGGGCTTCAGCTAGGTATTCGCCTTCCATTAATCCCCATCCTAAATATATGCGCCCTAAAGTATATGTTTATATTTTTATTTTGTTTTTCTATTATGCCTAATATCTTTAAAATGAACATTTTTTTAAATTATAGATAATTGGCTACCAGACTGGTACAATATCAGATAGTATACAAAAAGATGGGAAAAAATAAAAATTCCAGGGCTGCTGATATTGCTGCTTCTGGCACATTTTCAGAGATTAAATTTGACTGATTTCATTAGCATTTCTTTCTTCAGAATTTATGAATATCTGAATATAGCTTTAAAACAAATATCCCAAATTGCTAGTCGAGCACTGAAATCTGATATTTTTGTAAGACAATCTGTACACAGCAAAAAAAAAAATGACCATAGAAGTAGGTTAAATCTAGATTACATCTTTGCTCCTTATCTTGAACTTTTATCCAAGGAATAGCAATTACATTGTAATCATTGAAACTAATTTATTTGGTTAAAACATTAACACACTCTCTGATAACTGAAATTCAAGTTTTATTTTTGTTTTTGGCATTTATAATCAACAGTTTACTTTTCATTTCATTAGCAACATTAACACTATAGCTCTTGGTCAGGGTTCCAGGAATTTTTTAAAGACATTCCGTGGTTTGGAAAAGTTTGAAAACCCCTGATTTAGACAATCAGTTTCATTTAAGAATCTCTAAATTCCCATCCCCCACTCCACCCCCCCACCCCCCCAGCAATAAAGTCATTCTTACCCTAGATCAGGGGTAGGCAACCTTGGCTCTGGGAGTTGAAGTCCACGAGTCATAAAAGAGCCAAGGTTACCTACCCCTGCCTTAGATTTTGCTACACAAACTGTTCTGGCCTTGCTTTTGCTTTCCACAGATACATTTCTCAATTGAGGAAGTCTTATTTTTTCTCACTTCCTCTTTCCTGTAAAGTTTACTTTTGGTGTGCGGGCTGAGAGATCCTTTGTTCCCTGAAGCAACTCATTTCAACAGTCCATAAATCAGGACCTGGAAACAGGTAAGTTCCAATGCTAAACTGAACTATCAAGAAAGAAGAACATTTGAAGCTCA